TATTGGTTCCGCTATCGGGACGGAACCAATAATGGCGAGCCGTTATTTCTTTAAAATAAAAAAAAGTTGTCGATTTTAACCTTTTATTTAGATTACAAAAATAAATCGTAATAAAAACAATCCTATTTATGATGTTTTAAAAATTAAGACCTACGAAAGACTGATTTAAGACATTTCAATACCAATTAAGGCCTGAGTTTTATTTTGAAGAATTCAATGCCTTTTAAGACTTTTTAAGGACCCGCGGGAACCCTGTACATTCAGTCACTCACACACTGATGGTGGCAAGCTACATTGTAGCCACAGCTGCCCTGGGGCTCACTGACAGAAGTGGCCATACACTGGCGCCACCAGGCCCTCTGACCGCCATCAGTAGACAATGGAGGTGAAGTGTCTTGCCCAAGGACACAACGACAATTAAAGTCGGAGTCGGGGCTTGAAACCGTCAATCCTTCGATTTCAGGGTAAACTCCCACACCCGACGCCACTGTCGCCCCAATTTAGGTCTCCTCTAAAACATCTGATATAAATGTTTGGTTTTTTTTTTTTTACACTGAGAGAACAAAAATATAGATGATCAAATAAATATAGATCAGTTTTTAAATATCTCTACAAACAGCAGTCAAATTATCTTATTTAGGTTGGATTCTGGCTCACGCAGTCTAGAAGATGCTCGATTTATTCTCTGTTCAGACAAACCAGGTTACAATCTTCACAGTGTTCTGCAATGGGACTAAAAACTGGGACTGAGACTGGTAAAAAAACTACTTATGACCACCCATGTGCATAATGAGCTACCTAAAACCTAGCTATACTGTAAAAACGCCCACATCCCAAGCTAAAATTAATTAACTAAATCACTAACCAAAAACTTGTTCTAATTAACATATCAAACTAAATTCTAAAATTTAACAAACAATTGAAAAACAGCTCCTATAAAGAGGATGTGTAACATGTGAGGTCGTACGTGTTCGTTGGGTTGAGGGAAAGCCTCCATCAGGTCCACCCCCTCAGCGTAGACCTGGATCAGCGACATGATGTCTCTGTTCCTGACGGCCTCGTAAAGAGTCCGCAGCCTGGACTGAGCGTCGGCGCACAGCCGCAGGGCGAAGCGTTTCTCTGTGTACTTGGCCGTGATGTAGTCCTTCCTCATTTGCCTGGAAAAGACCCACAAACGGCAGGTGAATCATGTCACCCTGCAGGTTTACGACAGACGAAGGGTAACATCAGAACCTACATGTCACTCTTTGGATCCGGCTTGGTTACACCCTGTGCCTCCAGATCTGCCTCCATGATGTCGTTAAAGTTGGCGTTTCCTACGTTCTTCGCCAACTGAGAGACAAGAAACAGATAAAGACCAACGGCTATGAGTCGATCATGAAATCCGACCAAAGAGATGCTGATGTCTGAGAAAAACAACGTCCTGATCTTCAGGATGAGTTTGGGGATTTACCATTAAGCAACACTAGGCAGCTGCCTAG